CGAAAGCTGCGTGGCAGGGACTGGCAAACGGTGGCCCACGGCTCGTCTTCTAACTAAAGCTTTATTGCAACACAGACAGGCTGGTTTGCTTGTGTATTGTCTGTGGCTGTTTCCTGGGGCAGCTGAGAATTTAACCTAGCAGTAGGGATGATGTTAGGCTGCTTGCACTTCAGCTACATGGTGAGCTAGAGACCTGCCTGAGCTACAAGAGGACTGTTTCAAAGCAAGCAAACAAGCAAGCCCCCCAAAATGTAGCCTGTAACAGGCTATTCTTTCAGGCCACCAACATCATGACAATGGAGACATTATTAGTAGTTTTTGATGCTTGGCCTTAGCTTATGCTTATTTCTGGCTAGCTTTTCAAACTTAAATTAGCCCGTTTTTCTTCATCCACCTTTTGCCTTGGGCTTTTTCCTTTCCTTTCCTTCTGTGTGTCTTATTTTCACTGCCTCTCATCTCTGGCTGGTGGCTGCCTGGCTTCTTGCCCCAAGTATGTCCCTCTCTTTCTCCCTTGTTTTCCTTCTTCTTCCTTCTCCCAAACCTAGATTCCTCCTTCTACTTATTCTCTCTGCCCACCAGCCCTGCCTGTCCTTCCTCTGCCTAACTATTGGCCATCCAGCTCTTTATTAGACCAATCAGGTGCCTTAGGCAGGCAAGGTGGAAACCAATGCAACCCATCTTTACACAAACACACATCCTTACGTTGTTAAACAAATGCAGCATAAACAAATGCAGCATAAACAAATGCAACACACCTTTACGCAGTTAAGCAATACTCTACAGCATGAACAAATGTTATGCATCCTTTCATAGTTAAATAGTCCACGACAGCAGCCACCACGGCGGCTTATTTCACACCTTGCCTTCTCCTCACTCCCCGTCCCACATTTTAGTTAGAGGTACGATGGCTATGATGAAACCCCATGACCGAAGCAGCTTGTGGAGGAAAGGGTTTATTTGGATTACTCTTACACAGTACGGTTCATCACTGAAGGAAGTCAGGCCAGGAACTCAAACAGGGCAGGAACCTGGAGGCAGGAGCTGACGCAGAGGCCATGGAGGAGGGCTGCTTACTGTCTTGCCGTCAACATTCTTAACATCCAAGCTTCTACAGAACAGACCACTAAGGTCTCAGCACTCAAAGCTTTTCTATCCCAGCATTCTAAGGTATTTTCACAGTCCTCCTTCCAAACACATGGTCAGGTCTGTCACAGCAATTTCCCATTCCAGGAGCCAATTTTTCTTTTTTTTTAAATTACTTTTTATTTATTTATTTATTTTTTGGTTTTTTGAGACAGGGTTTCTCTGTATTGTTTTGGAGGCTGTCCTGGAACTAGCTCAGTAGACCAGGCTGGCCTCCAACTCACAGAGATCCGCCTGCCTCTGCCTCCCGAGTGCTGGGATTAAAGGCATGCGCCACCAACGCCTGGCTTTTTAAAATTATTTTTACTTTATGTTCATTTGCATGTATATCTGGGTGAGGGTGTCGGATCTTCTGTAAAACTAGAGTTGCAGACAGTTATGAGCTCCCATGTGGGTGCTGGGAATTGAATCTGTGCCCTCTGGAAGAACAGACAGTGCTTTAACCACTGAGCCATCTTTCCAGCCCCAGGTGCCAATTTTTCTAACCATGCTCCTTCCAAGTCCATTGCTTCTCTGGCATTGGAGCCTACTTTTCAGGATCCTGGTGCATACTGAAGGCCAGCCTCATGGGTTGAACAGCTATTGGATTCTTTGACCATTGGTAGACCAGATGGCCCGTAAGCCATTCTAATAAACCTGTCTCCCCAACTTGCTTTTGGTCATGGTGTTGCATCACAGCAACAGTAATCCTAACTAGGACACTCACTCACATTGGTGGTAAATGAAGGGACTCAGATGTCTTAATTTTAATTTTGTTTTTTTGAGATAGAGTTTCTCCAAGTAGCCCTGGCTGTCCTCGAACTCACTTTGTAGACCAGGCTGGCCTCAGACTTGGAGATCCACCTCTGCCTCTGCCTCCCAAGTGCTGGGATTGAAGGCGTGCACCACCACTGCCCAGCTGGGACTCAGACATTTTTAAAACACTCCTTTTGTCAGGCCGGTGGTGGCGTACGCCTTTAATCCCAGCACTCGGGAGGCAGAGGCAGGTGGATCTCTGTGAGTTCAAGGCCAGTCTAGTCTACCAATTGAGTTCCAGGACAGCCTCCAAAACAATACAGAGAAACCCTGTCTCGAAAAAACCAAAAACCAAAACCAACCAACCAAACAAAAACCAAAAACCAAAACCAAAACAAAAAACACTCCTTTTAAGTTAAAAATTTACTTATTTATTTTATGTGAGTGAATGTTGTACCTGCTTAGATGTCTGTATGCCTTTTTTTTCTTCTTGTAGTGCCCATAAAGGTCTTTGGGACCGGAGTTAGATACACTTGTGAGCTGCCGTGCTGGGTGCTGGGAACCGAACCCGGGTCCTCAGCAGGAGCAGCAAATGCTCTTAACCACTGAACCATCCTTCCAGCTCCCAATCAACGCCTAAGCATGACGTCTTCCAAAGGGAATGTCTGGGTCAAGTGTATGAGGACGATCCTGTGACTAGGCTTTCAGGAACACCAGATAGTCGACATTCCCTCCAGCAGGGAGGTTCCCCGGTTCTTGCCAACACTGAATATTTATCATAATTTTCAGTGTTGCCAATCTGATAATCGAAAAATATTGTCTCATTGTCACCTTCAAGAGGACAAATGTGTGCTGGGAAATTTTCTACCACAGGATGCATTACCCACAATCTATCTATAGCTTTCCCCCAACTTCCTTTCCTTCCCTCTGTCTGTGTTGTGTCCCATTCCCCCCTGCGCTTCCAGACACCAAAGCTTCAGTATGTTTTAAACATTTATTTGTTTACTCTTTTTTTTTATTTTGGTGTGTAAGTATGTGGGCATATACAAACCATGGTGGATGTTCCGAGGACAACTTTTGGGAGCTGGCTTTATCTTTCCACCATGGGAGTTCTAGGTTTGAAACACAAGTTGCAAAGCTTGTATAACAAGTTCCTTTACCCAATGAGCCATCCCACTGGGCTCGGTACGTGGTTTTAAAGCCAGTATCCTTCTTTTCCTTTAGATCCAGGGGTCCAGGTCCCAGCCTCCTCCCTCAAACCCAGGAGACCACACACACACACACACACACACACACACACACACACACACACACACACACACGTCCTCACAAGAGTTCGGACCCCCACTCCTCCCTCAGACTCAGGGATCTAGCCCCAGATTTACTCCTCCCTTCAAAAGAACCTACGCAGGAAGTGCTATTGTTAAATATTATGTAGAGGAGGAAGCTCATGGTTCATTCTACGGGGTTTCGCTGTCTGGAAATAAATGGTAATGGTTGGTACCATGTCGTGCCGTTCCTCGCTCCCCGCACAGTGTTTGTCTGTGTAATCCTGGAACTCTCCCTGTAGACCAGGCTGGCCTCGAACTCCAGGCTTGCCTCTGTCTCTGGAGTGCGGGGAGTAGCTCCCAGCTGTTTAAAAAAACCAAACAAAAACAAAAATCCGGCTGCAGGCACGCCCGTCAACCTTGGCCCCGCCCCATCTCCCGAAACTACGATTCCCAGCATTAAGTGCGCCGGGGGCCCGTCTCCTAAGGAAGCCCCGCCCCCGCACTGGGCCACGCCCGGGGCGTGCTCGGGAGGCCGCGTCCTTCCACTTCCACGCACGTGGGCTCCTGAGTCCTGCGTTGGAGCGGCCCGGGGTGCAGATCCACCAGCCCGGCATGAACCGCTTTCTGCTGCCGGTGTCCGTGGTGGGCACGGTGATCGGCGGCACCGTGCTGCTCAAGTGAGTCCGTGCGCGTCTCTGTGCGCGCTTGGTGCAGGGCCTGCGGCAGGGGACTGCCGGGCGAGGCTACGGAAGAGTCCTTTAGCCTCAGTCCTCAGTCCTGGGTTCTCCCAGCTTACCCGCCAGCACCGCCTTTCCCGACCGAGCTGGAGGGCGCGTCACCTCCCCAAGGTCACCTAGGGAGAAGGGGTGGGGCCCGGGAGCTTGTGCAGTTTGTGTGTGTGTGTGTGTGTGTGTGTGTGTGTCTGCGCCACTCATTACTTTCCCTCCCCTTCCCGCTCCGCTCTTCCTGTGTGTCTCCTCTCCCCTCCCCTTTTTCCTTCCTTGCATTTTTTGAGACAGGCTCTCACTGTGCAGCCCTGGCTGGCCTAGAACTCATGTAGACCAGAGATCCACTTGCCTCTGCCTCTCGAAGTGCTAGGATCAAAGCGTGTGTCACGACGCACGGCCTACATTTTTTAATTTTTTTGGCTCGCGTGTGTGTTTCTGCCACCCTTTCTGAGATTAGAAGAGGGTGTCAGATCTCCTGGAACTGGAGTTATGGACATCTCTCCAGCCCCACGCTGTATGTAATTATTTTGATCATTATCTATGTCCCACTCATGTTCTCCAACCCTTGGACCCCTTCTGACACATCCCCCTTCCAACCTCATGTCCTTTATTTTATTTACTTACTTTGAGGCAAGGTTGTCATGTAGCCTAGGCTGGCCTTGAACTTGCTGTGTAGTGGGGGATGCCCTTGAATTCCTGATCCTCCTGCCAATGGCTCCCCAGTGCTGGGCTTGCAGGTGTGTACCACCACGTCTGGCTACAGTCTTCTTGTTTTTTTGACCCAGGGTTTCCCTGGTGTAGCCCTGGCTGTCCTGGAACTTGCTCTGTAGACCAGGCTGGCTTTGAACTCAGAGATCTGCCTGCTTCTGCCTCCCGAGTGCTGGGATTAAAGGTGTGCGCCACCACCACTTGGCCCGACTCTTTTGTTTTTATAAAGAATAGTAATGAATGATTGCCACCTCACGGAGACTTCCCAAGTGTAGTCCTCAGCTGAGACCAGGATATGGACACCTTGTGCTTTGGTTCTTGGGTGGGGGATGTGAGCTCAGAAGGGTGGTCAGCCCCAGATCATAAATCCAGGCATGAGGCAGACAGAATTCACCCCTCTGTTTCTCACCCTCAGGGACTATGTCGCTGGTGGCGCTTGTCCCAGCAAGGCCACCATACCTGGGAAGACTGTCATCGTGACTGGAGCCAACACAGGTATCGGGAAGCAAACTGCTTTGGAATTGGCTAAAAGAGGTAAGAGCACCGCCGGCTTTGGAGTCTCGAAGAGACTCATACGCACTAGTGTGTGTGGCAGCCTTGTTTAAAATAGCTCGAAGGCGGAAGCATTCCAGGCGCTCATTTGCAGACAGACAGAACGTGGTCCATCCATACACTGGAATATTGCCAAGCTTTCAGAAGGAAAGGAATTTGGACATTTGCGATGATTCTAGAGGCTGTTGTGCTAAGTGAAAAAAGCCAGACACACACACCAAAAAACTACAGTATAATTTTGCTTGTTGTAGTAGTTATATTTTTTAAAATCTATTTTTATTATGTAGTGTATATATGTTGGGGTGGAATGGGTTTGAGCTTTGCTCTGTGTGCGTGTGCATGCGTCTGTGCGTTAGTGCATATGTGTATGTGTGTGTGTGTGCACACATTCACATGCGTGCACATGCTTGTGAGGACAGAAGACAGCCTCTGGTGCCATTTCTCAGAAAATCAGAGTGACAGCAGCACTAGACTCGTCGCATGTTCCCATACATCCCGGAAATGTTTCCATCTTCCCATCTGTCCTTAGAATATTTCATGACCCTGCAGATACCTTCATCTCTTTACGCATCACCCATCACACCCCAATCATCGCCTGCTACCCCAGCGCCAGGAAACCTGTGTCTGCTCTCTGTTTCTGGATTTGCCTGTTCAGGGCATTTCATACAAGTGGAAGAATGTATGATTGGTTTTGTTTTTGTTTTTCGAGACAGGGTTTCTTTGGCTTTGGAGGCTGTCCTGGAACTCGCTCTTGTAGACCAGGCTGGTCTGGAACTCACAGAGATCTGCCTGCCTCTGCCTCCCCAGTGCTGGGATTAAAGGCGTGCGCCACCAACGCCTGGCATCAATGAATTTTGTGTCTGAAACACTGTAGTTGTTTCAAGGTCCATTCACTGTGTCATGTGTCAGTGTGTCATTCCCTTTTATGCTATCACGTGGATACAGTGTGGTTGCTTTATCTGTTGATTAGTGAATGGTCCTTTGCTATTGTTCGTGTGTTCGTGTGTGTGTGTGTGTGTGTGTGTGTGTGTGTGTGTGTGTGTGTGTTGGCGGTTGAACACAGGGCTTCTTGTTTAGTAATCAGCTGCTCTGCAACTGAGCCACACCCCACACCCTCACTGGGGGATTCTAGGCAGGGGCTCTACCACTGAGCCACACCCCCAGCCCCTCACTGGGGGATTCTAGGCAGGGGCTCTACCACTGAGCCACACCCCACACCCTCACTGGGGGATTCTAGGCAGGGGCTCTACCACTGAGCCACACCCCACACCCTCACTGGGGGATTCTAGGCAGGTGCTCTACCATTGAGCCACACCCACAGCCCCTCACTATATATTCTACCACTGAGCCGTGCTCCCAGCTCCTCATTTGGGCACTGTGGGCAAACACTCTACCACTGAGCCACGCCCTCAGCCGTGTACTGGTAGGCTTTAGGAGAAGATCTACTGCTGAATTCCATCCTCAGCCCTGTTTTATTTATTTATTTTTTTTGAGATAGGTTCTTACTGAATTACCCAGGCAGGTCTTGAACTCACCTTGTAGCCTAGGTAGACCTCTAACTTGCAGTCTTCCCGCCTCAGCCTCCAGAGGCACCGCCAAGCCTGAGTAATTGGGTTTCTATCCTTTGGTTATTGAATGTATTACTAAGATTGCTTGTATACAAATTTAATGTGGGTGCATGCTTTTATGTCTGTTGGATAGACACGTAGGGGTGGGTTTGTTTTTCTTTTCATGTTTTCTTCTCCTGGGCATGCAGGAGGCAACATCATCCTGGCCTGTCGAGACATGGAGAAGTGTGAGGCGGCCGCGAAGGACATTCGTGGAGAGACCTTGAATCCCCGTGTACGTGCCCAGCACCTAGACTTGGCTTCCCTCAAGTCCATCCGGGAGTTTGCTGGGAAGATCATCAAAGGTAGGTAGGAAGACACTGACTTTTCCAGTCAAGGTTTGGAGCTTCCAGCCAGTTCTCTGAGGAACCCGAAAGCCAATGAGTTCTGGAGAAGAGACTGGTCAACACAGTCTACTGGCTGAATTCAACTGCATTGTTATTCTGTCGTTTATAACGTGTAGTCTTCCTGCCCGCCACCTGGGTCCTGTTTCCCAGCTGTCTGGGCCCCCAAATAACACACAAGACACTATATTAATTATGAAGTTGTTGGCTGCAAATTTGCTTGGTTTCTTACTGGCTAGCTCTGACTTAAGTATTTAACCCATAATTGCTTTTTTTTTTTTTTTTGGTTTTTCGAGACAGGGTTTCTCTGTGGCTTTGGAGGCTGTCCTGGAACTCACTCTGCAGACCAGGCTGGTCTCGAACTCACAGAGATCCGCCTGCCTCTGCCTCCCGAGTGCTGGGATTAAAGGTGTGCACCACCAATGCCCGGCCATAATTGCTAATCTAAGTATTTCTCTTACCAGAGAAAAGGCTCCGGACCTCTTACTCATCTGGTGGCCTACATGGTGTCTGACTGTGCCTCTCTTTCCCAGAATCCTCCTCGACTCCTAGTCCCACCTATCTTGCTTCCCTGTTGGCCAACAGTGCTTTATTTAAACCAATCAGACACACAGTTACAGAATGACATCTTCCAACAGTTGTTTTCATTAGATCGCCTGTGCTTACTTGTGATCATGGTCTGTTGGCATTCCCTCAGAGTAGGAGGGGGTAGTGGTTTGGACCAGAAAGACCCCCATAGGCTCTTATGTTTGAGTCTTTGGTCCCCAGGTAGTAGAAGTGTTTGAGAAGGATGAGGAGGTGTGGTGTTGTTGCTGGAGGTGTGCCACAGAGGGTGGGCTGTGAGGTTTCAAAAGCCTACACCATCCCCAGTTAGCTCTCTCTGCCTCATGGTTACGGCATCAGATGTGAGCTCTCGGCGGCTGCCCCACGCCTGCCTGCCTGCTGTCATGCTCCCCACTGTGACGTCATGGAGTCATCCTCTGAAACTGTGAGCCTCAGAGAAACTCTTTCCTCTATACGTTGCCTTGGCCATGGTGTCTTATCACAGCAATAGAAACGTAACTAAGACAGAGGGTTTGGGGAAGCTCACTGGACCCTCATTTAAGTGTCTAGACACTCCTTCCAGCCAGTTGTATATAGTTTTTCCTCTAATGGCACATGGCCTCTGGGGTCTGGGGAAGGGACTAAAATATATAGGCTGGGGATGGTTAACTGAGGGGGGATCTATCTCTGTGGCCATAAACATAGGCCTTCCATGCAGCTTTGGGGTCACCTACACTCTTGCCTGCAACCCCTTACGTGTGGTCTGTAAGTAAGCCCAATAAACTAATGGGTTTTCCAGGGAGAACTTCATGGAGTGGAATTTTGGTTTACCATTGGGACCTTAATAATATTATTATTTTATCTTTTTTTTTTGTTTTTTGTTTTGGTTTTTATGACACAGGGTTTCTCTGTATTGTTTTGGAGGCTATCGGTCCAGCCTGGCCTTGAACTCACAGAGATCCGCCTACCTCTGCCTCCTGAGTGCTGGGATTAAAGGTGTGTGCCACCACTGCCCGGCCTATTATTTTATCTTAGAGACTTTTTTATTTTTATTTATAGGTATGTGAGAGTGCCCTCAGAGACATGAGAAGAGGCGCAGTTTGTAGGGTTTGGGCAACTCAGGCCTCCGAGTTCACCCTTTTGTAGTGGAGGCTCCCACTGTCTCTAGAGCTAGCAAGAGGGGCTTGCTGGGCCTACACTGGTTGTTCCAACCACAAAGTTTGTGCTGAATACTTGTTTCTCTGCTGGGAGTCTGTGAATCTGGGCAGGTTGTCTGTTTGGGTGGCTGGAGCAAGGAGCCGTAGTCTGGGCTGAGTAACAGCAGACATTTCCCCCTTACTCTTGTGGAAGCCGGAAGTGCAAGACACTGGCAGGGCTGTGTAAACGGAGCTCTTAATTGGTCTAGATAATAAAAAGCCAGAGTCAGACATAGAGGGAAATGCTGAGAGGTCAGAGAGAAGGAGCAAGGCACGGCCGGCCACACCTTACTTCCTTAGCGTCTCAGCAGGCAAGAGAGCGACTTCCGTTTCTCCCTGCTTATATCCTGTTCCTGCCCAGCTACCTCACTTCCTGTCTGTCCGTACAGACCTCCAGACCTCTATGGTTAGCTAGTGGCAAGCTGCATTCTCTGACCCTCAGACAGGCTTTATTTGTACAGGCAAGATATCACCCCAGATCTGCTTCTGGTGAGGCCTCACTTCCTGGTTCAAAAGCAGCACCATGGCTGTGTCGGTGGTGAAAGGGGATGGGGAGGAAGCCTCTTTTGTGAGTGTAAAGCTAATTCTGAGGTTCTGTCCTTAGGACCCAACACCTAGAGGGAACCAGAACCAATGGGATCCAGCACTCTCTCTTTCTCTTTTTTTTTTTTTTTTTTTTTTTTTTGGGTTTTTCGAGACAGGGTTTCTCTGTGGCTTTGGAGGCTGTCCTGGAACTCACTTTGTAGACCAGGCTGGCCTCGAACTCACAGAGATCCGCCTGCCTCTGCCTCCCGAGTGCTGGGATTAAAGGCGTGCGCCACCAACGCCCGGCTCTCTTTCTCTATGTATGTATGTATGTATGCATGTATGTACACATGAAGGTGTGAACACACACACACACACTGAGGAATTGGCTCACACAGGTGCAGAGCTAACTGGAGATGCAGGAGATCAGTGGATGCAGTTCCTCTATGTATGTATGTATTTATGTATGTGTATATGTACACATGAAGGTGTGAACACACACACACACACACACACACATACTGAGGAATCGTCTCACACGGGTGAAGAGCTAACTGGAGACGCAGGAGATCAGTGGATGCAGTTTTTCTATGTATGTATGTATGTATGTATGTGTATATGTACACATGAAGGTGTGAACACACACACACACACACACACACACACACACACTGAGGAATCGTCTCACACGGGTGAAGAGCTAACTGGAGACGCGGGAGGTCAGTGGATGTAGTTCCTGCCCAGAGGTTGCAGGCTCCAGCCTGGGTTGAGACTGAAGGCAGGAGAGAGTCGGTGTTCCAACTCAAAGGCCTCGGGTGGAAGAATTCTCTCTGCTCTGTCTGCAGAGGGTCAGCCTCTGTTGTAGTCAGGGCTTCTGAAGATAGGGAGCGCTGTCTGCTTGCTAAACCGCTAGTTGATGGAAATAGTAATCTCATTCAAGACATTATTTGGTAATGTTTGACCGGTTATCTGGGTGTCCTGTGGCCCAGCTATGTGGACATATAAAAGGTACCTTCCCATCTTATCACATACTATCTATGTGTCTGTCTGTCTGCCTGTCTGCCTGTGTGTCTGGCTTTCTGTCTGTCTGTCTGTCTGTCCGCCCAATCTCTCTCTCTCTATATGTATGTATACTTATGTAAATTCATGTTTGTAGGTTATTGTGTATATATGCATATGTTTATATACATCTGTGTAAATTTACTGTGTGCGTGTTTGTGGGCACACGTGCATGCGGTGACTCATGCGGGAGCCAGAGGACAACCGACAGGAATTAGTTCCCTTCTGCCTTTGCATGGATCCCAGTGACTGAACTCAGGTCGTCAGCCTTGGTAGCGTGAATCCTTTACTTACCGAGCCCCCAGTCTTACTAACTTGTTTTTTTTTTGGATAAAATCTCAGTATGTAGCCCCTCACGTAGGTCTGCCTGCCTCTGCCTCCTGAGCTGAGATTAAAGGTGTGATACCCACACCTGCTCCTCCCTTTGCCACTTAAAAAAAATTACTTTAAAAATGTGAAAGTTTTCATCCATTTACTTTTTGAGACAGGGTCTCACTAGGTAGCCCTGGGTGACCTGGAACTTACTATGTAGATGGGCTGGCCTTGAACTCACAGAGATCTGTCTGCTTCTGTCTCCCGAGTGCTGGGATTAAAGGCGTGCATGCGCCACCACCGCCTGGCTCTTACCCCGTGTTAACTCCTGTACTTGAACTTGTGATCTTTGAGTCTCAGTGTCCTGAGTAGCTAAGGTTACTACAATATACAAACCACTTACGGTTTTTTTCTTCAGGTATTTGCTTTACATTATTTAGTGGTGTGTGTGTGTGTGTGTGTGTGTGTGTGTGTGTGTGTGTGTGTGTGTGTGTGTGTGTGTGTGATGGTATCAGCATGTACCTTTGTCCGCTCAACCATTTCTCCATCTCGTTTGTTTGCCTGCACGGCTACCATTGGTGAGCTCTTTTCTTTTCAATTATTTTTAATTATGTGTATGTCTGTGGGTTTGTGAACTGGATTCCCCTGTAGCTGGGGTTGTGGGAGATTGTGAGGTACCTGATGTGGGTGCTGGGAGTCAAATCGAGGTTGTGTCCCCTGCAGTCTGTGGTCTCGGCCACCAAGCCGCCTCCAGCCCAAGAGAGTTCCTTTATGTTTGTTTTTCTTCTAATAAAACCACTTATTAGCCCGAGAACTCTCCTGTGGTTAGAACTCATTGATGAAGTGGGAGAGACCTCTTCTGTGTGTATTTGGTTCTCAGTCTTGCCGGAATGCCCGTTTCAGAGAGGCAGTGACCTCGACTCTCCTGTCCACCCCGTATTTCCAGTGCCCAATTATAGGTGCTTAGAGAATACTTGTTGACTGAATAGTAATTACATGATTCTACCAGGCAGGGACTATTATCTTTTCTAATCAAGGAAGAAACTGAGTCGCAGGGAAGCTATGTGAGCTGGCCGGTGTCAAAATCCGGTCATGTTTTTATTTTTCGAGACAGCCTCGCTCTGTAGCCCAGGCTGGCCATGATTAGAGACATGAGCCACCATGTCGGGCTTTCAGTGTGAACTCCTGTCTGCCCAGATCTGGTTTACCCCCATCCCCTTCCCCACCCCAACACTGGTGGTCAAACCCGGGACTTTGAAGACCTGTGGTAGCTGGTTGTCTATGTGTCAGGTCCTAGAATCATCTAGGAGGCGAACTTCTGGGCATGCCTGTGAGGGAATTTCCAGACTAGGTTAATTGGGAAGACCCACCCTGCTTTTGGGCAGCATCATCCATGGGCCGGGGTTCTAGACTGAGTAAAAAGGAGAATCAGTCTGGGCATTTATCACTGTCCTGGGTGTGTGGCACTGGACTCAGTGTCCTGTGTGTGTGGCAATGACATACCTTATTTTACTAACTTATGCATTCTTCGTTACATATATCAGCGTGTGTCTGTTTGTGCACATGGGGGCAGGTGCCCGCAGAGACCAAGAGAGCACAATGGATGTCTTGGAGCTGGAATTACAGGTGGTTGTGACTCCTGACGTAGGCTGGGACCTGAAACCCAGTCCTTTGCAAGAGCAATGTTGGGCTCCTAACCTCTGAGCCATCTCTCCAGCCCTGAGACAAGGTTTCGCTTTATTACCCTGGCTAGCCTTGAACTTGTCACCCTCCTGCCTCAGTCTCCCCAGTAGCCTGCACTACCAGCCGTGGCTTGGAGCTGGGGTTCTTCCTTGGTGTCCTATACGGAGCCCCCCCCCCCAAAGTGAAGAAAGAGAGCCTTGTCCCCATCTCTTAGGTGCTGGGCACCCAATTCCTTATCTCCACTGAAAGTGTCTTGGAAGTGTTATGGATTCAGTCTCGTCTCTGTGGGGTAGGCCCTGGCTCTTGGCGTCTCAGAAGGTGACCTTGTTTGCAGGTTGGCGCTTTGTTTGCAGTAAAGGCATCAGGATAGGTCCTGGGTCAGTATCCCTGGTGTCGTTGTCATGGGAAACTGGGACACAGAGGGCTAAGGATGATGGGAAGAAACAGGGAGGAGCTGGCCGTTCCCTCCTTCAGCCCCAGCTGGACCAGCTCTCTCTTAGGTCCCGATGCAGTGTCTTAGCCGTGCACTTCTGATTCTTCAAAGATTTGCTTATTTTTACTTTGTGCGTATGAGCATTTTGCCCGCATATGTAGTACCATGCTCATGCCTGGTGCCCAAGGAGGCTACAAGAAGGCGTTGGACCCCTTAGAGCTGGAGATATGGACAGTTTTGTGAGCCGCTGTCTCGATGATGAAACACCATGATCCAATGCACGTTGGGGAGGAAAGGGTTTATTTGGCTCACGCTTCCACGTCGTAGTCCATCATCGAAGGCAGCCAGGACAGGAACTCAAGCGGTTCTGGAACCCGGAGGCAGGAGCTGATGCAGAGCCCATGGAGGGTGCTGCTCACTGGCTTGCTCAGGCTGCTTTCTTATCGAACCCAGGACCACCAGCCCAGGGACGGCACCACCCACAATGGGCCCCACTGATCGTTAATTAAGAAAATGCCCTACATGTTTGCCTATAGTTTGATCTTATGGGCACATTTTCTTCAACGGAAGCTTCCTCCTTTGAGATGTCTCTAGCTTGGGTCAGGTTAACATAAAACTACCCAGGGCAGCTACCATAGGGCTTCTGGGAACTGAATTTAGGTCCTCCCTAAAACCGGTATGTGGTTTTAACCGCTCATCCGTTTCTCCAGCCCCAATGTCTGTTGCTTAAAGTTGCTCGGTTTGTAGTGTTTTGGGACGTCAGCCAGAACAAATGTCTGGGGTCCTCTTTAGGAACAGTATGCACTCTTATCTGCAGAGCCGTCTCTCCAGTTCCTGTTTGTTTTTTTGAGATGAGCTATCTAGCCCAGGTTGTCCTTAAACCCCGTGTGTAGCCCGAGGATGACCTCAGCAGCCTTCTGGTCCTCCTACCTCCTCCTGAGTGCTTGGATTACAGGTGTTGCCATAATACCTGCTTTATGTGGTACTGGGCATGATAGCCAGGGTCTGGTGTCTGTTAGACAAACACTCTACCAACGGAGCTGTGTCCACAGCCCCGAGGACCTCACTTTAACTCACTTTAACCTCTCCGGTAATTTTACTTCTAGTCAAGGTTGTGTGTTGATATGTTGAGCTCCTTGGGATCAGGCTCAGTACGTGGCTGTGGGTCTATGAGGTAGAGGCTGCTCACAGCATGGCCGACCTGTAAGCAAGCAGAGTGGGACTAGAACCCAGGACCCCTCCCCAGCAACCAGATTCTACCAGTCAGTGTCCGTCACTCTAGTCTTTGTGCCTGATGTCACAGGACTTCCTCCCTCTGTGCCTCAGCCTGGCCGGTCTCCCTCAGGAGGACACCAGGGCCCATTCCATGATCTTACCTGAATGGCATTCGATTGTCTCTAACAAGATCCTGTTTCCCAAAATATCCCCCTTCGAAGGCGCCAGGTAGACAGGAATGTGCGTGGGACACCGTCCTACCCTCAGGCAGGGGTGGAGTCCATCCTCGGCCCTCACGTGTCTGTCCTCACCCATGTCTTCTAGAGGAGGAGCGAGTGGACGTTCTGGTCAACAACGCGGCCGTGATGCGGTGCCCGCACTGGACCACTGAGGATGGCTTTGAGATGCAGTTTGGTGTCAACTACCTGGGTGAGGCCTGGGCTGAGGGCTCAGTGGTTTTACACGGGATGCCAGTGGGTTCTCGACGGGGAGACGCCCACTCTGGGGGGTGGGGTCCTGCTCCATTCTTTTAAAATGTATTAATGTATGTGTGTGTCCCATGGACTGGGTGTGTCTTCATTTTTTTCTTCTTCTGTTACTTTTAAAAATTAGTTTTCAGGTCATCATGTAAATGAAGGTAGTTTCTTATGTGTGTGTCCTTACGCCTCGGTCTCACTGTTACTCTCGCCCACTGCCCTTCCCTTCCGCCATCTTTCTTCCCCCAGCTAGGCGTCTCTCATGCTTTTATTTGTGCGGCTGTGGTAAAACACCCTGGCAGAAAAGGCAGCGTAGGGCAGAAAGGGTTTGTCTGGCTCACGGTGCCAATGCCATCACGTCTTCGGGAAGTCAAGGCGGCCGGCGCTTCAAGTGGCCAGTCACGCCACATCTGCAGTCAAGAGCAGAGAGAGGCATGGGAACTGACCACTTCCGGGTGGGTCTTCCCACATCGGTGACCACAGTCAAGATACCCGTCTACAGACAAGGCCACAGCCAGCGCGGCCTCGGTAGCTCCTCTCTGAGGCTCTGTTTCCAGGCGACGTTCTCTCTCTCTCTCTCTCTCTCTCTCTCTCTCTCTCTCTCTCTCTCTCTCTCTCTCTCTCTCTCCTCTTCTCTCTCTCTGTCTCTGTCTCTGTCTCTGTCTCTCTTCTCTTCTCTTCTCTCTCTCTGTCTCTGTCTCTCTGTCTCTGTCTCTGTCTCTCTCTGTCTCTGTCTCTCTGTCTCTCTCTGTCTCTCTCTCTCTCTTTCCCTCCCTCCCTCCCTCCCTCCTCTTTAACTCCACCCCTACTCCCTGCAGTATGCACCCACCCCAACCTCATGTCTTTTGAAGCCCATGCTGGCCTTGAACTTGTATCCAAAGATGACTGTGAACATCTGATCCTCCTTCCTTGGATACAGGGTTTCCGCATCACATTTTCTCTTATCTGTTCATTTGTTGATGATCATCTAGGCAGGTTCCACTCTCTGGCCATTGGAACCATGCAGTACAGATAAACTCGGGTGAGCGGGTATCTCTGTGGCGTGCTCACACGGAGCCCCTCGGGTCTCTGTCCAGGAGAGGTGGATCTGGGCCATACAGCAGCCAGTGTCGAGAAGTCCACACTGATTTCCGTAGTGGCTACACCGTTTTACGTTCCGCCAGCAGGGAGTAAGGTTCATCCCCCCCCCCCACGTCCCCTCCAGCGTTTGTTGTCATTTGTTTTCTTGGCGATGGGTGATGGGTGATGGACGTTCTGATCCGGTGGGGATGGGAACTCAGAGCAGTTTCCCCAATGGATGGTTAAAGATACCGAGTACCTTCTCAAATGTTTGTTCTCTATTTATTGACTGGAGGATGTTTTTGATCTTTAACTTCTGGGTTCTTCCCAAGCCCTCATTTCTGCTAATGGGAGAGAGGATAAGGGAAGGCAGGGCTGTGAAAGCTGCCGTTTCACCCCCAGACAAGCCCTGATTAAAAGAAAAATCAAGCCGGGTATGGCGGTTTAATGAGAACGGCCCCCGAAGGCGCATGTATTTGAATGCTGGATTCCCAGTTAGCGGAGCTGTTTGGGAAGGATTAAGGGATGTGGCCTCGTTGGAGGAGGGGTGTCACTAGGGGTGGGCTTTGAGGTTTTAAAAGCGCACGTTGGGCCCTGTGTCTCCTCCTCTGCCCGTGGGTCAGGGTATAATGCTGTCAGCTACTTCTCCGGCGCCATGTCTGCCTGCCACCATGATTACCGTGGACTAACCCTCTAAAACTAGGCAAGCCCCCAGTTAGATGCTTTCTTTTATAAGGCCGACTGGGTTGTGGTGTCTCTTCAGAGCATTAGAACGGTGACTAAGACACCGGGCTCGGTGCCATTCACCTTTGAGAGCTTGCTTGGTGGCACAGCGGCTAAGACACCCTTCATGGGAGGGAGAAGGTCATCTTTGACCAGGTGCCCAGCTTCTGATGTACCATGGAGCAGTGGGGGGGGGGTGGACATCTGCCTAACCTGCAGGATCAGCTGAGATCAACCCTGGAGATGAATGCAGTGACAGGTGTCACAGCCAGCTTGCCTTCACATCCAAGTGGTATTAATCCCTGCAGGGGCAGTAGGAGTGCCTGAAGTTCCAGGCTAATCTAATCACCCGAGTGTGTTCCTGTGCCCATCAGGCGGAGCTACACCGTGAGACCTTGTCTCAGAAACAGAACACTTGCTTGCTAAGCCTGGTGACCCGAGTTTGATCCCCGAGACTTACGTGTAGAAGGAGGAAACCCGCTCCTGAAGGATGTTCTTAGCTCCACATGCATGATGTGGTACATGCGTCCACCCCTTCCCAAATAAATGCAATTAAAAAAGAATTCTTGAGTTCAAAGCCAGCCTGATGTACAGAGTGAGTTCCAGGACAGCCAGGGCTACAAGACAGGGAAACCTGGTCTTGAAAACAAAACAAAACAAAACAAAACAACAACAACCAAAACAAACCCAAAACTCAAAACCAAAAACAAAACCAAAAATGAAAAAAAATGAAAAAATTAACTGAACATAAATTTAGTTTTTTTTTCTCCTTAGAAAAACAAAACAACTCCAAACAAAATAACAAAAGTGGGTGAGCATATAGAGGAAGAGGAGGATTACACCGCTGCTGGGAATGAAATTAGAATTGTGGGTCTGGAGAGCCGGCTGGGTGGTTTAGAGCACTGGCTGCTTTTGCGAAGGACCTGGGTTAAACTCCCAGCACCCACATGACCTCGCAAACGTTTGTAGCTCCAGGTCTTGGGGATCCACTGCCCTCTTGTGGCCTTCATGGTTACTGCATGCATGTGCTACACAGACACATATGCAGACAAAACACTCATACACATAAAAAATAGTTTTAAGAAAGTAAGCCATCGGGAAAAAAAGTGTTTCCTTGTCATCCTTCATCCAGGTCACTTTCTGCTGACAAACTTGCTGTTGGACAAGCTGAAGGCCTCGGCCCCTTCGCGCGTCATCAACCTGTCATCGCTGGCTCACGTTGCTGGGCGCATAGACTTCGATGACTTGAACTGGAAGACGAAGAAGTATGACACCAAGGCAGCCTACTGCCAGAGCAAGCTGGCTGTTGTCCTCTTCACCAAGGAGCTGAGCCGCCGGCTGCAAGGTATACACAACGGCAGTCTTTCCTTTCTCCTTCCTTCCTTCCTTCCTTCCTTCCTTCCTTCCTTCCTTCCTTCCTTCCTTCCTTCCTTCCTTCCTTCCTTCCTCCCTGTGTCTAGAGTAGTTCTGCGGCCCTGAAATGGTGGTGGTGAAAGGGCAGGTAGCATCTTTAGACATGATAGTCAAAAGGACGGCACCCGTACCACCATGCCCCCTTCCAGTGCCGGAGGCAGACATCACTAATAGATCATGGTTCTAATGATTGCTCTTCAGGCTCAGTCAGCCTGCCTTCATCAGGCATGCTTATCTTGGGTTGTTTTATGAACCTCTGGTGTTCTGAGCCAGTGGTTGTGACCTGGGAGTGGTTTTGTTCCCCAGGGGGCTTATGTTGATGTTTGCAGACACGCGTGTCACAATCAGGTTAGCGAGAGGTTGCTCCTGGCATCTAGTAGGTTGAATTCGGGGTCCTCCTGGATGGTTCTCCAATTCCTTCCAATCTAATACAAGGAATGCAGTGTCAGGGATAAAAAAAAACTTTCCCTGCCTTCCTGCTTATCAGAAGTTATCTGTGGCCATCAGTGCCAGCCCCCCTTGGGAGACAGTCCTAGCTGTAGCATCTCAGACCCCAATCCAGTCCTCTGCTTTAGACTCGGTGGGGGCGGTGGGGCCCAGAAATGTGGGTCTATCTACCATGCCTCCGGGGCTGCTGCTGTGCTTGGGGAAAGCCACATGACAGAGCCACCTTGTAAGAGGAAGCCACTTCAGACGGAGGTGTCAGAGCACAGAGGATAGTGTGGGTTCAGGTGTGGGAAACAGCGTAGGATTGGGAAGACCCAGAGTGTAGCAGTGGCTGCAGCAGCCTTCCAGGCAAGAGGCCAGCCTGGTCTTTTTTCACTGGTCTTTGTGTGTGCACATTTCCATGTGTGCACGAGCATGTGTGCATGCATGCGGTGTGTGTGTGTGTGTGTGTGCATGTGCGTGCGTATGTGTGCATGTGTGTGTGTGTGTGTAAGCCAGTGGACAATGTTGGGTACCATACACGTTGTTTATTATTTGAAACAGCATCTCTCCTTGGCCTGGAGCTCACCTCCCAGGCTAAGCTAGCTTCAGTGAGCCCCCGGAACCTAGCTTCAGTGAGCCCCCGGAATCTGCCTGTCTCTGTCTCCTCAGCACTCACTAGGGATGGGAATCCCACACCACCACAGACGTGCGTTTCGACCTGTGTCCTGGGCATCAAACTCAGGACCTCCTGCTCACATAGCAAGCTCTTTAACAGCTGAGCGACCCTCCGACCGCTCTCCAATCTCTTTTCCCAGGCTCGGGTGTGACGGTTAATGCTCTGCACCCCGGTGTGGCCAGGACGGAGCTGGGAAGACATACAGACATGCACAAGTCTGCCTTCTCCAGCTTCACGCTTGGTGAGTCCCCTTTCGGCTTGGTGTCCCCCACGGAGCCCTCTCCCCGTGCCCTCTCAGCTGGGGACCCAGGACTTTTCCTCAGAGACTGTCTCTTTACTTTTCTTTGAATCTGTCTCTCTCTGACTGGGTCTCAGTATATATTTCTGACTGGCTTGGAGCTTGTTACATAGACCAGGCTGGCCTTGAACTCATAGAGATCTGCCTGCCTCTGCCTCCTGAGTGCTGGGATTAAATAAATGCGCCATCACGCCTGGGAATTTTTTTCCCCTAATCATGGCCCCTTATATACACCAGGGTGTACTTGAACTCATTATGTACATGAGGCTGGTCTTAAACTTCTGATCCTCTCGCCTTTGAGTTTGGGGATTACAGGGGTGTGCCACCATGCCTGCTTGCTGGCTCTGCCTCTTTCCGCTATCTCCCCCGTGTCTTCCTGGGGTAGATGGGTCATTATTCTAAGTGGTTCTAGCCTCAGATCAACAGAAAGCAGGCTGGAGACCATGAGGTGTATTTTCCTTGTGTCCTCGATCCTCTGGCTGCTACGATTCTTCCTCCCCCCTTCTGTGGGGTTCCCTGAGCTCCAAGGAGGGAAGGGGGACTCCATGGAGACCTCCCATTTAGTCTCTCTACCAAGAAAACTGTCTTGGTAGAGGAGGAATGGGTAGGGGTTGGTAGAAGGGAGGTGGAGGGATGGATCTGGAGGAGAGGAGGGAGGGGAAGCTGGTCGGTATATGAAATAAATGAAAAACAAAACCGAATAAACAACAAGCCGCCAAACAAAAAGCCCTCTTGGAGGATAAGTCTTGAGCTGCCTCCTAGAGTCAGCTTGTACACAGGGTAGCCCCAGCTTCACTCAAAACTAAGTCACCCAGGGAAACACATCCCCCAGTTTTAGTGGCATCTTGCTGTGGAGACCAGGTGGGCCATGAGCTTGTGATCCTCCTGCCTCTGCCTCCTGAGTGCCAGGATCACAAATACTCCTCGCCATGAGTGTTCCTCTGAGTCGCAGTTGCTTACAGTCACTGGGAGGATGAGGTGATTGTCCAGGCCTGCACAGTGCCTGCTCACGAATGTGGTTTGACCCACAGCCAAACATTAGGCGAAGAGAGACTAAATGGGAGGTCTCCATGGAGTCCCCCTTCCCTCCTTGGAGCTCAGGGAACCCCACAGAAGAGGGGGAGGAAGAATCGTAGCAGCCAGAGGGTCGAGGACACCAGGAAAGTATCCCTCATGGAATCAATGAAGCAGGGCTCATAGGAGCTCACAGAGACTAAAGCAGAAATCACGGAGCCTTCATGGGTTTGTGCTAGGTCCCCCCCTTTTTTTTGTGGGACTCCTAACAATAGGAGTGGGGACTGTTTTGCCTACTCTTGGAACCCTTTTCCTTCTGCTAAGTTGTCTCACCTAGTCTTGATGTGAGGGTTTGTGTCTTGTCTTACTGCATCTTGTTATGTGGTGACATCCCAGGGAGACCTGCTTTTTCTGAAGGGAAATGGAGGAGCATTGGGTCTGGAGGAGAGAGTGAGGGAGGTTCTAGGAGGAGTGGAGGGAGGGGAAACTGTGGTCAGGATGTATTGTGTGAAAGAGGAATTAAAAAAATAAGAATGTAGTGTGAGTCAGTAGAGCATTGTAACTGGTATTTATTATCTCTGAGAGTCATACAGTGGGCATGTGTCAAGAATTTTGACACGAGAGTACCTTGAGATACATTTGGTAAACTGAGGGCTGGAGATGTAGCCCAGTTGGCAGAATGCTCGGCTAGCATGCCACAAAGCTCTGGGTTTGGTCCGCAGCACCAGATAAGATCAAACATGGTGGTACATGCTATCCAGTACTCGGGAGGTAGACAGGAGGATAAGAAGTTTAAGATTATCTTTCTCTGTATAGTGAGGTCAGGGCCAGCCTGGGCTACATGTGTCCCTGTCTAAGAAGAAAGAACATTATTTTCAGGAAGGACAGAATAGGGAAAAGTGTGCTTTGATTTTTCTGGGAGCCTCCAGGGAGGATTCCTGTAGGAGACAGGTTTGGGCTTCATCTCTGTTTGGAGGGATTTGTAGGGATGTTGCCAGGGAAGGGACCTGTACAAGGACAAAGGCCTGGAGGTGGGCTCCATGGGACCTCAAGGCAGCTTTCAGCCTTGGGGTTTGGGTTCCCTGAAGGTAGAGCAGGGATTTTTGTTTTTGTTTTTTTTTTTTGTTTTTGTCTTTGTTTTTGTTTTTTGACTGATTGTTCTGTGGTTGACTGTAGGACCCTTCTTCTGGCTGCTGTTCAAGAGTCCCCAGTTGGCAGCCCAGCCCAGCACGTATCTGGCGGTGGCAGAGGAGCTGGAGAGTGTCTCTGGGAAGTACTTTGATGGACTCAGAGAGAAGGCACCATCTCCCGAGGCTGAAGATGAGGAAGTAGCCCGGAGGCTTTGGGCTGAAAGTGCCCACTTGGTGGGCTTGGATATGGCTCATGGGTCCCCTGGAAGAGGACATTCCCTCCCCAGATAACCTTCAAAGATCCAGATGGAGCTGCATTACCAAGGCTTCTGGCTCCCATGCCCTCATCAACCTCTAGGGGCAGTGTTGACACTGTTAATGACCATGGCTGCTGACTGCTATGCACTCATCTTCCTCTAGGGGCAGTGTTGGCACTGTAGACTCTCAAGACCATGGCTTCTGGTTGCCATGCTCTCATCTTCCTCTAGGGGCAGTGTTGGCACTGTTAATGACCATGGCTGTGGACTGCCATGCCCTCATCTTCCTCTAGGGGCAGTGTTGACACTGTTAATGACCATGACTGCTGACTGCCATGTCCTCATCATCCTCTAGGGGCAGTGTTGACACTGTAGACTCTCAAGACCATGTCTGCTGACTGCCATGCACTCATCTACCCCTAGGGGCAGTGTTGGCACTGTTAATGACCATGGCTGTGGACTGCCATGCCCTCATCTTCCTCTAGGGGCAGTGTTGACACTGTTAATGACCATGACTGCTGACTGCCATGTCCTCATCATCCTCTAGGGGCAGTGTTGACACTGTAGACTCTCAAGACCATGTCTGCTGACTGCCATGCACTCATCTACCCCTAGGGGCACTGTTGGTCCTAGCTTTTATTGTTAGCTGGCCACGTTCCGTTGGACCACAGCTGAGTATCCACTGGGGTGTGTGGTGGTGGCAGGTATAATGTACTCTATTGGTTACTGGGGAGCTGGTCTTTCAGGTGTCTCCCTTGGGAACGGTTTTGGGCAGTGTCCTAAGGCGGCGGTAACTGCAGTGGCGGACTGATCCTGCAGTGGCGGACTGACCGGTCTACTTACAGAGCCGGCAGTCAGAACAGTCTGGCCAGTCATAGTTCTTTGTGGGCCTCTGCACACATCTGTCGCTGTCTGAGACTTTGCTGTTGTTTCAAAGGCAACTTGGAGGACAAGGGCTTTAGCTCACAGGTTCTAGTCTCATGGAGAGGGAAGCCAACACAAGAACTCAAGGGAAGGGCTTGAAGCAGATACCAGTAGAGGTTTGCTCCTAGGCCTGTGTTCAGATGCCTTTCTTTTATTTTTATTATTATTGATTTTTACAGAGAGGGTCTTACTCCGTAACTCTGGCTTTCCTGGAACTGACTGTATTCCAGTTCAAGACCAGGCTGGCCTTGAACTCATAGAGATCCGCTTTCTGGGATTAAAGGCGTGTGTCACCATGCCTAGGCCAGGTACCAGCCAGGCCTACCTACCCAGGGATGGCACCACCCACAGTGGGCTTGTCCCATCTACATCAATTAACAATCAAGAAAACGTCCCACAGACATTCGCCCAGGACAGTCTGGTCCAAGCAATTCTCCGGTTGAGGATCCGTCCCTCTTCTAGGTATGCCGAGCTGATAACCAAACAAACCAGGACAGCTCTTGATTGCAAACTGCAGAGGATAGCTTCTACCTCACGGGATGGGGTGGGCATTGAACTCTGCCTGGCTCAGGAGAGGGCAACTGTGGACCTCTTGTGTGCTGGGCCCTGGCTGAGGTGCTGGGATTCGGTGGAGACCATGGCATAGGCCTTGATTCTGTTAGCCCCCTGTTGCTCAGGATGGAATGGAGTGCAGTTTTACTAGCTGCTGCCCTGAAGACCAGCATGGCCTGGGATCATGATCTCTTCTCCAGTTCCTGGGGTGATTTTAGCCTTAGACTCCTCCCAAGCATGTGGTTTGATTATAATAACTTGCCGGGCGTTGTGGCGCAGTTCTGTAACACCAGCACCTAAGAGGTGGAGGATTAAGAGCTCAAGGTCATCCTCCTGCACCAGCCTGGGCTGTACCAGATCCTGTGAAAACAATGACATCTCCAAGTGTAGCCCAGCCACAGATTTAGGATAAAAACAGGCATTTGCTCAGTGTGTGTGTGTGTGTGTGTGTGTGTGTGTACGCGCGCGCGCGCGTGCGCATACACTTTGTGCCCATGTGTGTCTGCATTCTGTGATGGAGTTCATAGGACAGCTCATGGGATTCCATTCTTGTGAGTCCTGGGGATCTAACTCTGTGAAGTTTGGTGACAATGGCCTTTACCCTCTGAACCACGTTGCTGTATGTCTCAGAGCCTGAGTTATTGGCTTTATTTAATCTATTGTATGGGGGAATATAACCTGTGTCTTTATTCCTTTTAAGAAACCAGGTTTTACGTTATCAAGGCAGGGAAGCAAGCAGCTTCAGACTTTGTAGGGATGGAAGGCGCAGGCTCAACACGTGGCAGGGTGTCCTAGGAAACTTCTGCTTCAGAAATGTATGTGGCACTCAGCCAGGACATAGACTTGGTGGGGCTTCCAAAAGCTCAGTAGAGAGTCAGGCAGGCTAGCCTGATCTACAGAGCGAGTTCCAGGACAGCCAAGGCTACTCAGGGAAACCCTGTCTCAAAAAAACCAAAAAAAAACAAAAACAAAACTCAGTAGATCCCTGGGTGCTTACAGCGAAACTGGCCTAGGATTGTCACTTGCCAAGTGGCTGCAGAGCCCAGCCAGCCACCTAGCACCTGCTCTGCTGGCACAGGGACACCAAGCAACTTGATAAGTGGTGTCAAACATGCTGCAGCCACTAGAGGTCAGAATGGAAAGCTCTGTGGCATCCAACCTGAAGCTACCCCTGTTCATAGCCTTAACAGCACTGTTCCTAGTAGGGTATAGTTTGCCACCAAATCATATGTATCAAGATGGATGCATAACATGGGTTACATCCATCCATCCATCCATCCTGTCTGTCTGTCTGTCTGTCTGTCTGTCTATCTAATCATCTATCATCTCTCTCTATCTCCCTATATCTATCATTCTATCTATCATCTATCTATCATTCTATCTATATCATTGTATCTATCTATCATCTATCCATCCATCTATCTATCTATCTATCTATCTATCTATCTATCTATCTATCTATCTATCTATCTATCTCATGCTTCATGTATGTCTGTGTCATGTCCATGCAGTGCCTGAGAAGGGTAGAAGAGGACTCCAAATCCCCCAGAACTGGAGTTACAGGCAGTTGTGAGCCTTCATGTGGGTGCTGGGAATTGAACCCCAGTCCTCTAGAAGAGCAAGCCAGTGCTCTTAACTGCTGAGCCATCTCTCTCCATCTTTAGGGCTGCGATCCTGACACTGTTAGATTCTCCTGCCTTCTTCCTTGTTTCATGATCACCGTGGTCATCTTTCACCCGTCAGGATAATCCAAAACAATGCTCTACTGTTTTAAGATCAGTAGAGTCGACTTAGCTCTGTTGGTTATCTGGTCCCGTTTGCCAGGTAAAACAGCACAGTCCAGTGTTGTGGTGTCCAGAGTTCTGATGATGGAGTCTGGCTATCTTGGGGAAGGCCGTTGCTCCGCTAACTATACTCTCCTTCATAAAGTCTGAGTCTTCAGATTTTCCAACGATTCCCCATATTTCTCATCCATTCTGTTCTGCTTAAATTAGGCTGGATCAACTCCATCTTATTATTTTTTTTTGAGACAGTTTCACTATGTAGTTCCGGCTCACCCTGAACTCTAGATCCTCTTGTCTCAGTCTCTCGAACCCAGAGATTACAGGCCCACCCCACGCTGCTGCCAACCCTGGATGTTTACAGTCCAGTCACGGAAATGTGCGGTCAGTGACTGGTCACTGTCCTTCTGTTCGATTTGTGTACTTCCCTTGCTGGGACGCCATTGCTGACAAAGCCGCCTGAGGAGGGAAAGGCTTAGTCTGGATGGCAGCTCCGGGATACGGTCCGTCATGGTGGGGACCGTGGTGGGGAGGGCACGATGGTGGGGGGTTGGGGTGGCTCGTCCACACTGCATCAGTAGTCAGGAGGCAGAGAGACGATGCTGGTGCTGAGTTCCCCTTGACTTTTACTCTTTGGTACATTACTGTGAGTGTGTGTGTGCGCGTGTGTGTGTTGTGCATGTATCGTGTGCTTGTGGAAGCCAGAGGAAGACTTGTGGGAGGTTTTATTTTTTTAATAAATTATTATTTAAATTAAAAACAACCTTGTTTTACATACCAATCCCAGTTCCCTCTCCCTCTGGTCCTCTCATCATCCCCACCTCCCCACCAACCCACCATCCCACCATCCCACCATCCCACCCCCTATATATTCCCCAGGGAGGATGAGGCCTCCCATGAGGGATCACCAAAGTCTGACACATCATTTGGGGCAGGACCTAGGCCCTCCCCCATGTATCTAGGCTGAGAGAGTATCCCTCCATAGGGAATGGGCTCCCAAAGGCCATTCGTGCACTAGGTACAAATGCTGGTTCCATTGCCAGAGGCCCCATAGACTGCCCAGGCCTCCTAACTGACACCCACATTCAGGGGGCCTGGTTCAGTCCTATGCAGGTTCCCCAGCTGTCAGACTGGGGTCCGTGAGCTCCCACTCACTCAGGTCAGCTGTTTCTGTTTCCCCAGCATGGTCTTGACCCCCTTGCTCATTACTCCTCCCTTTGCACAATGGGATTCCAGGAGTTTGGCTCAGTGCTTGGCTGTGAATCTCTGTTTCTGCCTCCATCAGCTACTGGATGAAGGCTCTAGGACGGCATTTAAGGTAGTCATCAATTTCATTATAGGGGAAGGACATTTAAGGTAGCCCCTCCTAATTTTTTTTTCCAGACAGGGTTTGTCTGTGTAACTTTGTAGAGCAGGCTGGCCTCGAACTCGCAGAGATCCGCCTGCCTCTGCCTCCCGAGTGCACCACCAACGCCCCGCTTCTTGTGGGAGGTTTGATGCCAAGTGCTCTTACTCAATAGGCTGCCTTGCCGCCTCAGTGTATGGTGGTGGTGGATGAACGCCACATCACATGTATGGCAGGGAGAGAAGAGTTTTCATGGAGTCATTTCCTTTCTGCCACTGTTACATGTGTTCTGGAGATTGAACTCAGGCTTCCAGGCTTTTGTGGCACGTGTCTTTTCTGCTGAGACATCTCTCCAGCCTTTGCGTTCTCCTTTTTATTCGGTTCTGGGCTCGGGCCCACAGTGTAGTGCTGCTCACACTCATCAAGGGTCTTCACATTGTCATTAGGTCAACCTAGGAACTCCCTCACAGACGTGCCCAGAGGTTTGTCTCCTAGTGGCACTGTCAATCTTAACCACCACGGGGTGTCTTTCTTGGGAGATGGAATGCATCCTGGAGGAGTTAAATGATGGGGATGTCCTGTATATGCATTTCTCTTATTGGTTGATGAATAAAACACTCTTTAGCCAATAGAGGCAGGAAGATAGGCGGGACTAGGAGACGAGAAGAATTCTGGGAAACATAGGCAGAGAGGGACCACAAGGAGATGCCATGTAGTTGCCAAAGGAGTAACAAGTCCGGACATTCTCCAGTAAGCTAAGACCACGTGGAAATGCATAGATTTATAGAAATGGGTTAATAATTAAGACAGAGCTAGAGCTGGGTGTTGGTGGCTCACACCTTTAATGCCAGCACTCGAGAGCCAGAGGCAGGAGGATCTTTGTGAGTTCGAGGCCAGCCTGGTCTACAAGAGCTAGTTCCAGGACAGCCTCCAAAGCCACAGAGAAACCCTGTCACAACCTCCCCTCCCAAAAAAGACAGTGCCCTAGTCATCGGTCAACAGTTTAATAATAAAAGTTTTTGTGTGCTTAGTTGGGGCTGAAGGTGGCAGGACTTGGCAGGACAAGAAACTCCAGTTACAGTTAAGTCTAAATTTATGTGGAGCCCAGGCTACCAAGGTGGCTGGTCAATGGGGATGTCTTTCATGCTGGGGGGATTTGTCTTTCTTGCAGATGGATGTAGCTGCTTCTAACCACAAACCCTCATGGCCAGCATCTACTTCCTCTTCAAAATCAGGAGAGCTAAAGTACCACAAATGCTATACCATCCTAGTCCTGAAGCCTGAGAGGGCTCGAAAACAGCAGTACTCTAAGATATATGAAAGGTGAAAAAATCTACTTGACAAAAAATATCCCAGAGAAGAATTTATGGGCAAGTAATTAAGCTACCTAAAGAAGCTAGGCATGGCAGTACACACTTGCAATCCCAGCCCTGGGGTGGCTGAGATGGGAGGATCTTGAATTTGAGTCTTAATTTGGGTTACAGTAATGAATTCTATCTAAAAAAACCTGAAAGTCAAACCACAATGAGTAAAGATAAAAAACCCAACCCAAAATAAAACAAAAATAGACTAGTGAAACAGCCACAAAAATCTGCTTTGTGTGGTGACTCAACACGGAAAGGAATTGAACTTGCAACAGATTTTGGACCGTGGAGCTGGAGAATTCTGTCCTATTGCCTTTGGTGACCCACAGTAACAGAACGTTCAAAGGGCACAAACTGGCCTGATATTTACTTTTTTTTTTAAGACAGGGTCTTGTTGCCCAGGCTAGCTTTAAACTCACTAAGTAGCAGTAGCAGAGGATGACCTTCAGCTATGGATAATCCTGCCTTCACCTCCCGAGTGGTGGGATTACAGGTCTTTAAACACTGTAGGGCAGACACACAATTGGATTACAGGTCTTCAAACACTGTAGGGTAGACACACAATTGGATTACAGGTCTTTAAACACTGTAGGGCAGACACACAATTGGATTACAGGTCTTTAAACACTGTAGGGCAGACACGCAATTGGATTATAGGTCTTCAAACACTGTAGGGCAGGCACACAATGGATTACAGGTCTTCAAACACGGTAGGGCAGACACACAATGGGATTACAGGTCTTCTAACGCTATAGGGCAGACACACAATGGGATTACAGGTCTTTGAACACTCTAGGGCAGACACACAATGGGATTACAGATCTTCAAAAACTGTAGGGCAGACACAATGGGATTACAGGTCTTCAAAAACTGTAGGGCTTACACACAATGGATCTGTACCCGTACAGCCTCATCAACTCTAAGAAACATCAAATGCAGC